TTACTTAGAGCCAGCCTTCAGGCCAGCAAGCCCAAAAAAACTGCTTCCCTAGAGCCAGCCACCAAGCCAGCAAGCCCAAAAAAAATGCTTCCCTGGAGCCAGCCTCCAAGCCAGCAAGCCCAAAAAAAATGCTTCCCTGGAGCCAGCCTGGTCTAGTTCTGGCAATAGATGACATTAAGCAAGTGTTGCTGACCTAAAACTTGAACTTATTTGGCAGCCCAAGCTGCAGGACCACAAAGCCTTAGCCAGTAAGGCTGCAACCTTAAAGTGCAACCCGCTCGAGCAAACATGAAGCCAACAGCCCTCTACTATTCGAGCCTCGCATCGAAACCTAATCTTAAACACTGTAGATCTTAGATCAATCCTATTCAAACTGCATAATTTTTGGAATCAACCAGAGCTTGTGTCCACTACGACTACGAAGGCGGAAAAGCAAAACCAAGAGCGCACAGAGCAAGTTGCACCTGCCGGACCTGCGCGCAAGTAGAAGGCGAAGGCAAGTGGCCTGGCAAAACTTCAACAGGCTGGAGCTGCATGTAAGTAATAGAAGCAAGTGAACTGGCAAGGTGAATGAATCCCAGCTCAAGCGAGACTGCAAAGACAGCTTTCAAGCACGCTGGAGATGCGCGCAGGTAGAAGAGGCAAGTGGCCTGCAGGCGACACTGCTGGAACATGAGGTTGAATTCACTGCACAGGCGACATTGCAGAAAACACTCTCTACGGACATTTTTTGTGGCTCAGCATGGCATCTGATCTGAGTAAGCACCCCAGGTACACCACAGGAGGCATGTATGCATGGCAACAGCAATGTCCGGCTGCATGTTTTAGACGATTATTCGAAATATATGAATAACATCAGTTTCAATCCCGAATGTGAAAATGTGCTCCAATGTCATTGCCAGCATTTGCTTCCTGCGCTGCAGAACCCACATTGTGACATGACACAATGTCCAAACAAAATGCGACTTGAACGTCTAAGCTTGAAAGAAAATGGAGGCGAGCTCCGTTCACAACTTCTTGAGCACCTCCAAATTGGGCCATCTCCTGCTCTCTTGCAGCGGGTGGCAAGCACAGAAACAGGTTGCCTGGACTTCAGCAGGGCCGGCGCAAAGAAGTCTCGACCTGAAGAGATTGAACTCTAGCCGGTGCTGTTTCACAGAACCAGCCTTCAATTTCTCTTGCCGGAGTTCATGCCACAATTGTGCCCAACACAAGCACGAATGACGCAATCCTTCGCGTGTGTGCCGGGAATCAATAGGAAACAGCATCATTTTCGCTGTTATCGCTTGATAGACCACAAGTCCGAAGGCGAAGATGTCGACGGCGGGCTGGAGAAGGCGATGAAAACCTTCAGCTGCAGCACCCCAAAGCTCGGGAGGTCGGTAGCCAGGTGTGCAGTAAGCCTCAAACTCCGCCCTCTGGCACGGCCAACGTTCGCAGGTGCCCAAATCACATATCTGCAGCTGGCCTGACGTTGGCATCCACAAAATGTTCATTGGCTTGATATCCAGGTGAACCAGTTTTGCCTCGGAGTGCAGCACACGAAGGCCTCGGCGCAACTGGCTTGCGAAAGACCATACTTTTCCACGAAAGGTCTGGGGGCACGAAGAAAGCAGATCCGCCATGCACGAGCCACCGAGTTCAAACACAGCGTAAGGGCTGGGGACCGCATCCCGAGCAACATCAAAGAGCCTGGGAAAAACATTACGATCCTGCACATTCTTGATGCTTTCCAGATTGTCATATAGCTCCGTTTCTCTGACACAATCCCGATGGGCAGTCCTGTCTCGAAAAACCTTGATGGCACAGGGTTGACCATGCTGTGTGAAGGCTTTCAGGACCACCCCGAAGGAGCCGGACCCCAATGGCACACTGTCAATCTCATAGTGGCCCAAGAAGGCGGGGGAAGGCGAGGTCGAGGAACGCGAAGGCGAGGAAGACGAAGGCGGGGAAGGCGAAGGCGGCGCCACCACGGGTCTTCGCTTCCCCTGCTGCCGGACCGCTATTCCCACGCTCGCCAATGCTGCATGCTGCTGGCAAGTTTCCTGTTCTGACTGCTTGAAGTACTTGTCGCGAACACTTGCCGTAGCTGCTCTCCAATCAGCAGCTACCCTCCTCATCTCAGCCACGTGCACCTCCTTGCTGTCGCCGCGCTTTGCCTTCGAATTGGCAGCCAGGTACAAGGCGAACGGTCTTCTGGCCCTTGGGACCACCGCCTCCTTCAAGG